ATTTGATAGATTTGACAGATTAGGTAGGTTAGATAGGTTAGATGGATTAGATAGATTAGATAGATAAGCTAGATAAGATAGAAAAGAAAGATAAGATAGGAAAAATAGGTCTTTGTGAGAATGATGGCAGCATTCACCTCGATTTGGTTCAACTTGCCAGTGTAATCCGAACAATCTATTCTATCAATTTAAAATTGCGTACATTATACCTATATAGATTAATTTCATTGCGCAGGCACGCACACACACACACAGATGTCACACGCACACACAAATCTCTCTTCCTCTCTACCTACCTACCTATTTACCTATCTACCTATCTACCTACCTTCCCTATCTACGTATCTACCTACAAATCTACCTATCCATCCATCCATCCATCTATTCATCTATCATCTCTGCCTGGCCTGGAGTTCCACTGAGGCCTGTGACCTTCACGGAAATGCTCTGAGCCAGACCAAAATCTGCAGAGCCAGGGCTGCCACTTGTTGAAGGCAGCTGAATACAGAGGTGACGCAAGGTGTGCTCCAGGCATGGGACCCGACATGTTTGAACAAACAGCTGCACGTCATAGTCACAGCCACGCCTATTAAAACAACTTCAGGTTTTGTGAAGTCATCATTGTAGCGAATCATGAGATTGGCTTCCTTGATGTCCTGCCAATGATGGCTTTGACATAGCCGTGACATACTTCCGACGTAACATATTCAGACCATGCACCACTCGCACCACCACACCAGCTCACGCAGCACTTCCCCATCAAAAGGGAGGAAGGCATGGCGTCAGTGCAGCCAAGGTGCACAATGCATTTGAGCCTCGCGATGCAGATATTCCACACCTGCGCTCAAGCTGGACAATGGGGCCAATGGCAGAATCAGGGAATTCAACAGCCTTAAGAGTATCACAAAGCAGGCAAATGTTTCATGAGCAAGCAAGAGTGTCGTAGTGGACCTCCGGTTTGAGCGCCCTGAAAGCGCCCAACCCAACTTGACGTCCCAATTGCTCAACCACCTCTCCAAATCATACTCTAGAAGGACTCTGAAGATGGAGCCGGCTGCAAGGCCTGCAAGGCATTGGCGGAAGATGGCTTGCCACCAACCTTCTCGCATTTCAACTCCTTTGTCCTGAGCAACAAGCACATTTGATACTTGCACAGTGCAGCGGAACAAGTGTCCACCACAGCAAGTTATGTTAGCACATATGAATACGTATGATATAATATGGGGAAGTAGGATGCAATGAAGTTGAACTACGGAATTCATGTTCCGCGTAGCTCTTTTTTGGTGTGCCCTGGTCTGAGGTGACCTGGGAGCATTGTTCAACCAAGGCACGTATGCTCTTTTAGCCAATTTGGTGAAATCACCTCCAAAGTACCTGGTGTCTGGTCAAAACGGGCCGCTGAAACCATTACAAGAATGTGTAGGAAGTCGCAGGCCCTGTCTAACTTGTCAACATCACTCAAATCCGTATGTCATCCAGCTGTGCTTGTCGAGCTTTGCCGAGAGTGCCGAGAGCCTGTATGTATATTATACATGTAATGGATGGATGGCTGGATGGAGGGAAGGATGGGATGGGAGGGGATGGGAGGAATGCCATAGATGCCATGGATGATCATTAATGCAGGCATGCAGGCATGTATCTATATGATTGCACATGGTTGCACATGGTTGCACATGGTTGCACATGGTTGCACATGGTTATGGCGCGCATATCCCGTATTTATTTCACAGATGTTCACAGCAGTTTCACCATTTGAAGAGGTCCTGACGGTTCATTCACCAAGTAAACAAAGTCTTGGTCGTGGAAGGCTTCAAAAGTCCTGGTGCCAAATGCCAAAATCGGAATTTTGCTCGGGCTTCAAGAGGCTTGATAATGGCCAGTCAGTCTTCATGCAAAGAAAGGACCGAGACGAGGTCCTCGCCACGTGCTCATTATCAAACTCTTTCATGCGGTGAAACTCTTCCTTGGACAGGACAACTCTGTCAACATCCCTAAAGCGTCTACTTCGGACATCCGTCTTGACTGGAAAGTCAATTCACTTTGTAAACTGCATCGTGGTCCCATCAAACTGGCAGCCGGCTGCATTTCTGAAGCCGTTGCAACCAAGTAGCCAAGATTTCTTGCAAGCCTGCCCCCAAGACCATTATTATTGAATCCACTGAATACAACAATAAGATTTTGGAAGAGAACACATTCTGCAAAAGCATGCAAAATCTATCACAAACAACGAGCGTCTTTTCCACCAATGATGCATGGTGAGTGTGCATCAACAATTTCGCTTCCTAAGGCATTCTTGAATACCCAATCCATATGATGAACTAGACAAAAGGACGCAACGCAAGTCTCTACCATCTTGCCCTAGTTGAAGTGGCTGTGAGAGCAAGAACGGAGAGCAAACATAGATTGGATTAAATTGCTCAAGCTTATAGCATGGCAGCATGTCGTAACTCCCAAAGATATATGCACGGGCATACGTCGGGGTATACAAAATAAGTTGGGTCCATTGTCGCATTTGTGGTTCTTCTGCTTCCAAGTGAGCTCTGGCCTCCAGCATTGGCGTTCTTCTTGCTATAGAACTTGATGCAATATGTTGCACGAGCCTGAGAACCGCCTGAGTCAGAAAGCAGTGTCCAAGGATGAGAGCCTGGGCATCAAAAGGGCTTCGGGGGTTATGCAATCCAGCAAGCAGTTCATGCTTCCAAGTTGCAAGTTGAAAAATAACTGTACCAAGGAGAACTCTCTTCGGTTTTCTTTTTGGCCAAATACATTATGCCTGACAAGTGCCAGTTGGTAAGAGGTCAAACTTGCGTTTCCGAAGCAGTCTTGGAAGATCAACAATTGGAGGCATGGCATGTCCCACCACCCTGTCTTCCAGCACATGCAAACTCACCGCCAATGCTGATGGAGTCGCACAATGCTGTATTAGTCCGCTGAATGCAACTGCCTTGCCCTCCACGGCCCATCTCCCGGGCGACAGAGTAGCCACCATCCTGGCAAAACTGAAAACACTCGTGCTAGAGCGGTCCACGGACGAATGTTGTGCATCCGAATGAAACTAACTAATTCTAGGAGCGAAGTGCGAGTGGTTCTGCTCTTTCCTCCAACTTCGCACTGCTACAGCTGCTATTAGGGCCATTGTAAACTGTGGTTTGAAGATGTTTCAAGAATGTAATGCAATTTGTCTCCGCCATCCCCACCTCGAGTGTGCACGTTGCTATCTCGCTGTCGAAGTTCGCAGCGGGCCCCTCCAAAGCCCAGTGCCACTGCAGCAGCGTCTTCTTCACCATAACCCTCCTCAGAGGCAGAAGGGAAGCAAAGCCAGGCAAAATATCGCAAATATGGAAGAACTTTTTAAGAACGTAGGCAACCAAAGCACCTCAAACGCACCTCAAACCAAATGAATTGGACAGCCTGAGTGGCTGCTCTGGCACTCACACACCTATCTGGCAATTTTTTCTTCCACAATTCCAAACATCAATATTCCCTGACTACCAGTGACCGTCGCAGAGATGTCTGGCTGTTGTCCCACAATACTATCTGACCGGGAAAACCACAGCCATTCTCGGAAGAAATTGGAGATGCTTCCGCTTCCGCAGAGGAACAAGCATACACACAAAGGCGTAAAGAAAATATATACAATTAGTATATATATCGAAGAAAGTTTAGAAGCCAAACTTCCAACAATATGGACACATGAAAAGCAGAGATGGGAAGAGTAAGAGAAGAGAAGAGAAGAGAGAAGAGAGAAGTGAGAAGAGAGAAGAGAGAAGAGAGAAGAGAGAAGAGAGAAGTGAGAAGAGAGAAGAGAGAAGAGAGAAGAGAGAAGAGAGAAGAGAGAAGAGAGAAGAGAGAAGAGGGACGAGAGAAGAGAGAAGAGGGACGAGAGAAGAGAGAAGAGAGAAGAGAGAAGAGAGAAGAGAGAAGAGAGAAGAGAGAAGAGAGAAGAGAGAAGAGAGAAGAGAGAAGAGAAGAGAAAAGAGAAAAGAGAAGAGAAGAGAAGAGAGAAGAGAAGAGAAGAAGAAAGAAGATCAAAAAGCAAGAAGATCAAAAAGCAAGAAGATCAAAAAGAAAGAAGATCAAAAAGAAAGAAGCTCAAAAAGAAAGAAGATCAAAAAGAAAGAAGATCAAAAAGAAAGAAGATCAAAAAGAGAAAGTCTCCGAAGAAAGAAGAGCCAGGTGCGCGCAAAGGTAGTAAAGTCCCGAATTACTGTGTTTTTCAAATGATTTGTGGCTCCAAAGGGTCGAAAGTAGGCTCGCTAAAGCGGCGGGTGCGGAGCCATGTGGTCAAATGAGAAATGAAAAATTGCACGCCGTTGTGGCGAGAAGCACATTTCCAAGTCAAAATGTACAAAACACCTCAGCCTCGGAGCACTTTTAGAAGTTGAGACGTCGAAAAAGTGCACACCGTTGTGGCGAAAAGCACATTTCCAAGTCAAAATGTACAAAACACCTCAGCCTCGGAGCACTTTTAGAAGTTGAGACGTCGAAAAAGTGCACACCGTTGTGGCGCGAAGCACATTTCCAAGTCAAAATACACAAAACACCCGAGCTCCGGAGCATTTTTAAAAGTTGAGATGTGGAAAACGTGCACACCGTTGTGGCGCGAAGCACATTTCGATGTCAAAATCTACAAAGCACCACATGTACGCACCGCTTTTGGACGTTGAAGCGTCGTTTCGCCTGGCAGGTGCAAGGGATTGTGCACCTGGTCAAAAGTGAGCAAAACGTGAGGGTTTTGTAGCATTTCAAAAAACGATGGCAGGCGTGGGACACTTGACGAGGATCTGCAGAGATGCATTTTCCGTGGCAGGGGCGCTACAAGAGACATGTTCATCAGAGTTGTTACGGGGTCCGGGCGCTGATTTCCTGAGAGGGGTTGCATTTTGGAGCATCAGATCTGCAGGTTTGCTAAGATGATTTTGCGTGACACGTGCAGCACTTTGTTTGACCTGGTAGATAGATAGATAGATAGATAGATAGATAGATAGATAGATGGATGG